AGTCAAGAAACCTAGAGTCTCAATTTATTGGTTGACTGACTGTGGTGCTGGGGATTTAATTCAAGGCCTTGTGCATGTTGGGCAAGGCTCTACTACTAAGCTTTACCTCCAGCACGTGGCTTTTTTTTTTAAAGGATGAAATGATAATGCATATGGCAGTGCTTTGAAAAGTACAAAGCAACTATTATAAACATTACAAGTACTGAGCAGTGATTATAGTTATCAACACTGTAAATTAATTTTCTGAAGAAAATGGTCCTTGTTGGGGGCTAATGCAAGCAGACACCCCAAGTAGGTTGGAATGCTGCCTAACCTGTGACAAGAAACATTCCATCCATGAAGTCCTTAGGCCATTATGTTTTTCTTTAAAGTAAGCCCACGAACTGTTTTCCTGGATTAGGTCCATGGTCTAGGTGAAGAGTCCTGAAACTACTAGTTTTCCTAACAAAACTATTTCACTGCTCCATTCTTTCATTGTTTAATAAACATGTTCAAAGCAGCATACATTACTGAACTTTGTTTAGCAATAAAGGTAATACAGAAAGTGACACAGTATTTTACAGTTCTGCTCCAGACAAAAGAGCCCAGTTGCTTCCATAAAAAAGGAAAAGAAAAAAATCAACAGAGTACGTCAAACAACTATGTCTGTGTTTATGCACATACACACATCCTCACAAAATTGTATTAAAACTATAAGCTCATGCCAAAACATCCTTTAAAAGAATGGATAAAATGTAAACACTATGACATCTGATCAAATTTCATTTTAAAAGTTATACCTATAGATACCTAAATTTTAAATCTTTGCTATCTCTGTTATACACAATCCTTGTGTTGCATACCTTGAAAGAGTCTACACTAACCTGGAAAATCAGTAGACACCCTATGTCTCACCAACTGGAGGTCTAAGGCTTTGCTTGATTTTCAGGCAAGGGGGTGGTTGGGGGAAATCAACCAAATTCTCCAATAGAAACATGATATTTAACAACTGAAAATGGTAATTGATTTTCTTTCTGAAGCAAATTCCAATTAATATTTTAAAAAGTCAAATGGACTCAGATTCTATTACATGCTGTAGAGCAAAGAAAAATATTTTAGCTAAAACAGAAGTTTTTGAGTTTTACTTACTAGGTATTCTTTTCCTTCAGAAGCTAAATAATTACTTTGTTAAACAGACCAAGGGAACACTCTGCTATCTTCATGAATAAACTACTGTATCAGCCGGGAGAAGATAAATCTCAAGCACAAACTGTCTGTTTGAGTAAGAAAAATGAAGTCTAACTGAAGGTACCACGGTTAACAAAACAGTTTTGGTTTCAGGAATTGCAAAGACAGACTGGCCGTTACAGGAAGCTGTATTAATGCTGACAATGTCAAACTGTTTACAGAAACTAGGAAGTTGTGGGGCGTTCCTTCCACTCTCACACACTGTCCTTGTCCTATATAAGCAGCGCGGCTTATACTCAACAAGCAATTGTACAGTAAACAAAAACAAGTTGGCAGTGACTCCCAGCCCTTCTGTTACTTTCATCCACATTGCCAATTAAGTGCATATCCCAGTCAATCCTCGACTCCATATTTCTAAGTCATCAAGTTATCAAATTCTCTGTTAGCTAAAAAGTTTTTCTGAAGACAAGGCACCTCACTAGCGCATTGGCAAGCCTGAAGGCACAACCAAAGTAGGGTATTACAAATATTTAATCCAATGTTAAGAGACTACTTCTTAAGATATATTATCCTCACTGTGCTAGTTTACATGTGGAAAGGTACCCTGAGTTTTAACAAGACCATGAATCTTATATTTCCCTTTTCCACAGTAAGCTATTTAGTTTACCTATAACAGAACTAACCTGAAAAGGAAATGTTTGTCTTTGGGAACTTAAGAAGGAAAACATATTTGTACCTAAAGTTATTACTAAGAACTGCATGAGTGGTATTCTGAGGTATCACTACCTAGCCCTTATCTAAAAAAACTGTCTAAAGGGCAGTCAATCACTCATGTAAAATATAAGTTACGGAGAACCTTAAAAACTGCCAGTATTTGTTTTCAAACTTTAATTTGCATTAAGAAGTTTAAAAATCAATGATCAGTTGAAACAAAAAGTCTTAATTTTAGTTATAGTATGTGCCAACTCCTCCCATTTCCCAATATTCATTCTACCCAAAATTCAAACATATGCATTGTTAAACATAATAGAAAAACAAAAAGTTTAAGATAACAAATTATGGTTTTTGTGTAATACTGTACAAAGATTTTCCATCTCTTGGAAAAATTAAACTAGCATTTAGAAATACAGTAATTTATATTTCCCAGAAGAAAATGAATGCAGAATGTTTCTTTTTTTCCCTCTCTGACAGACTAGAATGCCTAAAAGATTGAAGAAATATAGTTAAGAACCAGGTCTCATACTAATGGAAGAGAAAGACAAGTCATACCAACAAATGCTTCCACGTTAATGAGGAGTCAGACACAAGTAAGTAACTCTAATGCACATGCTGGCCAAAATGAGCATCAGTAAGCATTCTTGAGAGACCACAGGACATGAATGCATGAGAATGCATTTGAGTCTCCGTCTGAGGCCTGAGAAAATTCCAGAGATGGGGCCCTGAGGCATGGGGGTGAGGTACAGGAGCAGGAACAAATTTTCCCAAATCACCTGTGGCTGTGTGCTAAAAATACAGATCGCTGAATCTCATCTCAGATTCCTGAACCAGATTCTTTTGTGAAGGAAGTCTGGGAATCTGCTTGTTTTATTTTAATAAGCATTTCAGTTAAATCTAAAGTAAAAGGGTCCAAGGACCACTTGAGGTCACAATACAATTTGATTACTGCTCCAAGTGAAGGGTAAGATCTAATGAAGGGGATATGGTAAAGAAAGTCCTGGCAAAGGTACTACACGAGAAGAGCTATGGAAGCAGAAAATCTGACCATGTGGGAATTAAAAGGTTATAGGAAATGTCCAACGGCCCAATGAAATACTGTTGGAGTCACCATGCCAATCACCACAGAGAATCCAAAGAGTGAAAACCATTAATTCAACATAATAATCAAGCACCTATTCTATGAGCCAAGATATACCCAGCAGTGAAAAAATCCCCATCACCACTTTGAAATTAGATCTTGTCTGTTCCTCTTTTCTTGTCTCTACTTTTGATCAGAAAAAAAGTATTTCTGAACTTTCCTGTCCAAACCTTTGAGAACATGAGCCTTGAAGCATTAAATGGCTCACATCAAGACCGTGGCTGTTCTTATCCTGAGTAGTTTTACTTATTTGCTACTAAACAAAAAGAAATACTTAGTAATCTGTCTCAATGATGATGATCTGAGTCTTGATGAGACTAGGAAGTGAAAGTTCAGATTTAAAATAATTTCTGATTAGAAGGCCATAGGACAAACACAGAACTTTCCCACAGGGAACTTTCAGGTACACAGATATTCATTTATTCATTCAAAATGTACTGTATGCTTATTACAAATGGCTCTTTCCTCTCCTACACTTTGGAAAGATGAATAAAGATGAATAACAGCTCCAAGTGCAATGTGTGGTCTGTCGGAAAAAATGAACTAAAGAGAACAAGCAACACCTAAAAACTGGAGCAATGGTGCAGGCAGATGAGAAGGCATATGGGGTGGAACACAGCCAAGCAGGTCTACCACAGCGAACATAATACTGACCAAAGGTACTCTGGGAATTGGTCACTTGTCAAATTAAATTCAAAACTTTCAACATGTCCAGCTACTCAGTGTTAACAAAAATATGAGCCAGTCCCTGACTTTCAGAAATGAACAAATACATCCATGAAAGAGAACTACACGAGACAGCACATAATTAGTTACTAGTTATGTGATATACATGAAAGCCATAATTCAGAGAAAATCAACATTAAGATGTTAGTTTTTAAAGAAAAGATATGATGATCATTTTTCTGAATTCTGAATAGTCAAGACTGTTTCTGCGCACTGTTAGGTGCACCTCCTACTGTAGCCACACCCATAAATGTGGGTCATTTTAATGTGACAACATCAAACAGCTTCCTGAGATTTACTTTTTAACTGTCACTTTATTTTAATTGTATTATAGTATTTGGTCTGAACCACCTTCAGATTGCATACAGACTAGATTGGTATCATTGAGAGAATCTTTCTGGTCTTTGGCAAATAAAAATTTCAGAACACAAGCAAAATGTTCACAATTAAAATATGAAGAACATGATTAAAAATCTGTCTCAATTATTATTTTTGTACACTTAACCTACACTAGTCATATTATTTCTTTTCCAACCTTTTTTCAAAGGATGTATAAAAGCTTCTAAGTATTTTATGGTTAGTCTTGCTCAAAACTAAGGATGAAAAATTAGTAAAATTTATTTCCCATGTGAAACACAGGTACAACAAAAAACTAGTATTATTTTGTATTTAAATAAGGAAGATTTTTAGAAAATGTTCAAGAGACTTAAAATGCAAAGATATAAAAGCTATATTTTCTCTTAGTCATTAAAGATTTTAATCTCTATCAAAATAATCTGCATCATAAAACAGTTAAATAACATGTTTAAACAGCTAGGTGCAGTTACTGAACTCTCATTCCAAGAACACAAGGTCAATTTTTGTAGGATGAATACTGTTAACTATGCTTAGAGAAAATTAATTCCAATAAAAGAACAAAATTAGGAGTGCCAAAGAAAATCGTTGTAACTTTCCTTTCAAAAAGGAAAAATGATCAATATAATAGCTTCATTAAATCTATGTAGTTTACATGCTTAGGAAAAGCTCACATAGCAATACAAATACCTAAGGCTACAATTTTGAATTAATATATTGTATTGTGAAAAAAAGTGTGCTAAATCATTACTCAATGCCATTAAGATAAACCCACATTTTATTTTATTTTGGTACTGGCGATTGAACTCATGACCTCACACTTGTCAAGCAGGTGTTTATGCCACTGAGCTAAATCCCCGGCCCTTAAGCCTACATTTTAAAAGAGCCAACATCTTACCAGCTGGAATTCTCGACGCCTGTCATAGGCATGCTGTATGCCGCTGTCTGCCCATAGGGCTCTTATAGCAGGAAGATACTGTAAAAAAATCCCAGTTTCCACCATTCCTTTTGCAGCCATGGGAGCACGGGTATCAAAGGCCATCAGCTTGTCTCCATGGAGCTGGTTGTCATCATCTCCCCAAGGAATATGAAGCTTCTCTCGAGCATCTACCAGTACTCTCATACCTTTGGTTAAAAAAAGTGTGGAAGAGTCATTAGATATTATTGTTAACTTTGATTCCAGCATTATCATCTTAAAATTTGTTTTTTGTCTTTCTGAGACAGGGTCTCACTATACAGTTCAGGCTGGCCTTGAGCTCATTTTGTAGCCCAGCATGGCACTGAACTCACAACGATCTTTCTGCCTCAGCCTCCAGAGTGCTTGGATTACAGGCCTGTGTCCCCATGCCTGGCTATTATCTTAAATTTTGAACTACTCAGACCACCTTCTCCAAAAACAGCGACAGGCATCAAAACATTCTAATGAGTAAACAATCAAGTATCTACCATGTTAAAATTAGAACTATAAAAAACAAATACAAAGCAATTATACTTTCTGAAAAATTTTAACATGTTGCAATTAATAAAATAATTTCTGGGGCAGAAGGTGGTTAAAACCAAAGTAGGGGAAAAAATAAAAGAAGTCATACTGCATAATCCAATGCCCAGGCTCTCAAGACAACAGCTGCAACCAAGATTGTATGAGCCTGTCTGAAAGACAATTACTTATGGAACATTAAGAACAATGTAACTGCTCAGTTTGTTCCCATAGCACCCTAGTCTCCCTGTATCAGACAAACAGATTCAAAGTTCAAAAACTTCTCTCCCACATCAGGCTTCAAATCAGTGTAAGTTGTAGGGTAGCCTTACATTTCTCTAAAAGGGAGGAAGACCAACTGAAAAAAATGACAGAAAAACAGATTTTAACTCAGAGGTAAATTCAAACTCAGTATTTGTATCACTAAACTGTTACTTTGGCCCTTGCTAACAGTCTATTAGGAAGTCATTTGTTTGGATAATTGAAAAACCATTTTCCTGTCAATTTTCTGATCATGCCAACTCAGAACACTGGCCCGGCTAAAGACTTATTCCATCTCACAACAATGCTCAAAGTAGGTCACACTTAGGACCCAGTGTACGTTATTAAGAATCACGTGTTTACCTGGCTCACAGCTAACATGTTGACTCCATTCACTAATGTAATTTCTTAAGTTCAGACTAGGATGGCACATTAGGATATAAAGTATCTTCAATTAAGGACTGGAAAAGCAGAGTCTGTAGCCTTCAAAGAGACTTAATTAATTTTGTGCTAAACATGAAGGCAGGCCCAATACAACAAAGAATCTTTATAGGTTAACTGCAGAGGTGCTGGGCTGGAGCTGGTAGAGGTCTTTGGGTTCCTTAGACTACTGTCCTTGTCACTGCCCCCAAACGCCTGTCCGCCTAAGGTATTTTCTCTGCCCAAGGGGAGGGGGTGAGGGACGCGAAAACGTGTTTTTTCTGTAACTCTGAAACAAAAATCCACTTAAAAAATAGTGTTTAAAAAGACCTGCAAAACCCTAGACAACATGGTTGGCAAATAAAGGAGCCTCCTGATGCACATTAAGTACTAGATGCTGTATTTCAATTCTGCCAAGTAGAAAATACCTGACACTATGAAAACTGAGAACTGACTCCTACCTCATATAACAAAAACCATCTTTTTGATTTCTTTGAATGGCCAAGAATAAAGACCTCGTGTATTTTTCACTTAAGAATCATGTTTAATTTTTAAACTACTATCAAAGCAGGAGCAGAACCTATTAGCCAAGCCAACACTGATTCACTGACTCCACCTGTAGAGGATCCCTATTACTTTTAGGCCAAAGATCTTCTATTACCATGCAATTTCATTAAAAAAAAAAAACAATAGATGGAATCTCTTCCCTCATCTATTTAAAACGTGAGTACAGACGAGCATCTTTTAACAATGGGGCTAAAACCGCTTCTGCTAATCTTTTTTAGACTAACTGAATGGATCTACGCTTTCCTGGGGCCAGTACCATAAACCTGACGCCCTTAAATTTCATGCCCTTGCCTCCAGCGGTTATTGCCCTACGCCCTTGACAAGGTTCAGCCAAAGTTTTTTCCTTGCCATGGTTTCAGAACTCCCGTGCTCACGAGACGGCCGGCCAGGCAAGACAGGAGTTGGGAGCGACCCGACCTTGCGACTTCGGTCGCCCACCAAGAGCGGCGGGGTTCGGGGAGGGGGTACTGGGGTGCAAGGGTCAAGGGCGGTGCTAGGATCTCCCGCCTCGTTTGCAGGGAGGTGAGCAGGAGAGGTCACCCCGCAGCCCGACACACCCGGCTCGGCTCACTTCCCTCTCCGAGGGGGGCGAGGCCCACGGCGGAGTATGTAGCTGGCACTGATCTCCACAAAGGCAGAAAGGGCAAAGCAGGGCGTCCCGGGCACTTTCTCTGGGGGCGGGGGACGAGGGTACCCGGGTGGCCAGCAGCCGTGCCCCGGGCGCGCCCCCCTTCCCGCCAGTCCAACCGCCCGACCCGGTCCCGGCCTCCCAAAGACAGGGAAGAAGAGGGCGGCGCCCGCGCCCGGGCCCGCGCCGCCGCCGCCAACTCCGCTCCCCGGCCCCGGCCCGACCGGCCCGGCACCTTTAATCACGTTGCTGTAGATGGTGGGGCGGAACTCCTCGCGCGCGCGCTGGTCGAAGTCCTGTCCGTGGATGATCCGCATCTGCTTCAGGAAGGTAGACTTGCCGCTCTCGCCCGCGCCCAGCAGCAGGATCTTCACCAGCCGCTTCACGTAGGTCTTCTCCCGCGACAGGCATTTGTCGATCTCTTTGGACTTGCGCTGCTGCTCGGCCTCGCCGCTCGTCAGCACGCAGCCCGGGAAGCACACGGACAGCACGGAGCGCGACGGCAGGAAGTCCGCCATCTTGCCGCCGCCTCGGCGGGCTCCTCCGGCTCCTCCACCTCCTCCGCGGGCGGCGGGTGGCTCCGGCACCGCGGCTTGAAGGCGGGGAACGCGGCAGCGGCCCGAGCGCGCCGGGGGAGGGAGGGAACCCGCGAAGTGACTCGCAAGGCTGGCTGGGCTGGGAGGGCCGGGCGCGCAGGGGGAGGGAGACAAGGAGGGCGGGCCCGGGAGGGGCGGTGGCCCCGAGCGCGAGGGCGCGCACGCTGGCTTCCGTGGGCGCGCACGCACACACTGCGCCCCCGCCTCCGCCCGGCAGTCGCGAGTCACGCGCTCTCTCGCGTGCTCGCCTGCTTGTCGCCGCGCGCGAGGAGCACCCGGAGTCGCGGTCACGTGCACCGGTTCTGCGGCGCCTAAAGAGCCCGACTTTCTGTTTCCCTTTAGCTGCGCCCACTTTCGCAAAGAAGGGCTCAGTTTCCGAGTCAGGGAGGTCGGAGACCCGATTGTAGCCCCTGCCCCTGGGGCTCCTTTTCTCTTAGGTGGTGCGCCATAACTGCTGTCACCTGCACTCGCCCTGCCTGTTGCGAGGCCACTGGCTAGAAAATTATTTGCACAGCCGGCGGGAGCCAGGAAGATTGTTGATGCCTCTTTAAAGGTGACTCTGTTGACACTATACTCCCAGATCCTCACCTATAATGACACTCACCCTCCCCACCTCAGCTTTTTATGGCATTTTTTGACCCTCATGGACAGTAGTTTGAGGCAGAAGGACTGGAGTCGTTCATCTGATATGTGACCGTTAATGTCTCGCACATGTGCATTCCCACTCGAGCTGCGCTATGATTTAGGTAATGCTGAAATCAGTGAGTGGCGAGTAGGGTGAGGTCATGGTGAAAACCCCCTAAGCCGGACACAGTGATGCGGATTCTTTCCCACGAGGAAGCAGATAAGCAAACAGCACTGAAGCAGGCAAATTTTAGGTTTCCTGCCAGATTACAGAGGATATGACCAATGAGAGAGGCTTTTTTTTTTCTTCTAACAGCTGATTGAGGCTAGGACACCTGAAAGGCCTGGCTGGAGACAAGCGACTAGTGACAGCAGGGTTGGCAGGATGACTGCTAGAAGGGACTCCAGAAGCTGACTTTTGTTTCATTCTGAGAACAGTATTTAGTTCCAAGCAAAAAAAAAAAAAAAAAAAAAAAGGGCCAAAAGCCATTCAGGTTTTAGCAGTGCAACCTAATGCCCTTTAGTTTGGGCTCCTATAGCTCAGAATCTTCCCATCTGATAGAGAGTTAGGCTAAGAGGTCAGCAAGCTGAGAAGCTTATGAGCAAGTTTAAATTTAAAAATCAGTGCTAATCAGTTACTATCTGGGGTTGGGTATGTGACTGAGAAGTCTCATGACTCAGTACCCTGGCTGCAGTAAACAATGCCTGTAGTTGGATAATCTCCCACTCCAGGGGCCAGGCCCTTTTGGCTGACAATCTACAGTCTCTGCAGTGGGACAGGTTCATCGCTAGTATCTTTAGATAACTAGGATTGTGCAGTGCTGTCAGGCCAAATGGATGGTAAAAGTCAACCAGGGGTGAAGGATCTGTGTCTCAACAACTGTTAGGGAAGCCTTGCTTTTGAACTACGAAAGGTCTAGCCATTGTCTAGGACAGGGAGGTAGCCGTAGCCCCTAAAGCCCTGTTCCTACATTGACTGCAGATGCTAATCTGGACTCTGCGGCAAGGACAGAAAGTGGAAGCTTGTAAGTCAGGCTTGTTAACACTGCTACCCCCCTCCTTCAGTGGGTGCAATGAAACGGAAAACCATGGATGCCTAGGAGGTAGGAAGGCATTCCTGCCCAGCCAGTTCATGTCATGACAGGTAAAGCAGCAGGGAATCTGTTCAGAGCTTTGCATGGCACCTTACTTTGGAATAAGCTGAGACTGAGCCCAGCTACTTTAACCGGGGTTTCTGAAAAAAAAGACTTCTTTTGTCCCTGCCTGAGCTTTGTCTCTAACTCTCCTGCTTCTCACTGGTGATAAGACTCGTAAATTGTAAACATAGAGTTCAGTGGTTGCTCACAAAGTTATACATGGATTTGTCATGTGGTGTAGAAGTTCTTTGCTTTTTGCCAAAGAACTGAAAACAGGCCTTTAAACAAAAGCATGTAAGGCTATGATCATGGCAGCACTGTTCAGAACGGCCAAAACCAACCAAATGCCCATCAGTGAATGAATGGATAAATAGGATGTGTTATGTCTATACAATGGGATTATTCAAGCATGAAAAGCAGTAAAGGGGCTGGAGATGTAGCTCAATGATGGAATGCTTGTCTATATGAACTCCTGGGTTCAATCCCCAAGAAAGAATGTAGTACCACATTAAAAAAAAAATGAAGTATAACACAAGTGAACTTTAAAAATAATGTGCTGAGTTAGGCACAATGTAACCTGTAATTCCAGTATTGCGGGAGGCTGAGGCAGGAGAATTACAAATTTGAGCCCATCTAGGCAATTTAAGAAAACCTTCACTATAACAACAACAACAACAAACTGTCCAGGAATGTAACTCAAAGTAAAGTGACCCTGGGTTCAATCCCTAATACTGGAAAAAACAAAACAGTTAATGCTCAGCGAGAAAAAAAAGGCCCCGTATCTTATGGAAATGTTCTGAATAGGCAAACCCAGGAAACAGAAACCAGATTGGACCAATTGAAATTACCAAGGCCTAGGGGTGAGGGAAGAATGGAGAGTGACTGTTTAAAATGGATACAAGATTATCTTTGATGAAGATGTTTTGGGACTAGATAGTACTGATGGTTGCAGAACCCTGAATGTAGCAAATGCCACTGCATTTGTACCCTTTAAGATGGTCAAATGATGACTTTCAATGTTAAGTAAATTTTACCAAAGAGGGGCAGGGAATGAGTGAGGGAAAATGCATCTTCCATAAATAGTCATTGGCACTGTTTCACCTTGAACTTCTCACAGTGTGGTGTAATGAATGAAAAGTGCCACTGTGTTTATTTTTATAGGCTCACAATTAGTTGCACCAGAAGTAAGCTTCAGGTTACCCCAAAATGACATCGGTGCTATTTTAATTTTCAGATGCATTGTTTCATAAGTGAAAAAAAAAAAAAAAGACTCCAAACTTTTTAAGGGAGTATGGAGTCTACTGGTTAGAATCAAATCTTTTGGATGCTGTTCCCAACAGATCCAGATGTCAGTTGATTAGAAACATCTGCATTATCGCAAGCCAGTTAATCCATATGTAAATGAGGAGTTTAGATGCTCCCTGGAGCTTTGTTAAAATGATAGGAACAGTTGATTAGTTGCAAGGTTCTTTTTGGGAGCACAAAATTTAATGCTAAACAGTTTTGCAAGGTAAATAATGAAAGATGACAATACAAATGAGATACATCTTCCAGTGACAGCCTCTTGTAACTTTGAAGAAAGAACAAGCCCTTTCTAGTAATACCACCATTCATAGAAGCTCTTGTTTGAACTCTTGGAATGGAAAGATAGGCTTTTCCTTTATAGTCATAATTTATTTTCAATTTTAAAAAATGGTATTACTGAACTTATTTACCAATCTTTGTGCCAAATAACTTTGGGCTGTTTACAAAAATCAAGAAAATCCACATAGGACAAAAATGTGTCACCCTCAGATATACTCAAAAGAATGTGCCAGAGGCTCCAGGAACAGTTCCAAGAAGAGTTTCAAAAGTCTCTTTTTGAATGATGGGAAATATAATTTAAATAAATGCATTGCTTGCCAAGCTAACTATTCACTACTACCAACGAAGGGACAACACCCACTTAGATATGTTTATTTAAAGATCAGTCACATTACTTGACGATTAAACCTTGGGTTAATTTTCTAATAAGGAGGATGACACATCCAGCGTTCTTGTTACACAACCCTTGTGTTTCACCATCAATATAAAAATAGGTGGATTCACATTCTTTCTTCCAGATGAAACGGGCATGGACTTTTTCATACTTCCCTTTCCTCTCCAGGAAAGGAAGGGAATTCCCAAGCTCTTTCATAGTACAACCCTCTTACATTTGTGTGATGTTTTAAATGCTGCAGAGCACTCTGACCTACTTTCCTTTATCTCATTCACTGCTCACAATAGCTTGCCTGGGAACACCCAGCGTTAACCTTGCTCTGCTTGGACACAAGGAGAAGCTGATGGGAACAAATGCTTGAATAAAACTTTCTCAAAGCCCTAGTCACCATGGCCATTTGCAGAGCTAGGACTGGAAACTCCCTAGTTTGACTCTTTATGTGGTTGTTCTTTCTAATACACCAAAATAGTCCTAGTACTCAGAATGCCTGGATGTATGAAGACAAACTGGAGGCCAGAAACTAACTGTACTTAGCCTCCAGGTACCGTGGAGTCCAGCGGTTTTGTTTGTCTGTTGTTTGCTCTGTTTTTCCCTGCCCCTTCCAAGCTGGCTGCCATCTTGAAGTTCCCCATCTGTTAGGCTGGTTCTATTAAGATGTTCTGTCCTCCATACTTTGAGCTCAGACTGCGTATAAAATGTTCCAGGTGGCTGATGGTTAAATAAGAAAAGAGGAGCTGAGCTTAGGGCAGTATTTTCCAGGTGTGTAAAGTCCCACACTTTAGTCACTTAACGTGAGTTAGAACTTTTAAAAGGGGCAGCACTTTTTTGGTGATGAAATTTGTTGTTGCCTTTACTAGAATTAGCTTGTTATGTGGAAAGTTTTGTATGAAACCAGACATGTGGAAGTGAATTGTGGGTGGTTTTGTTTGTTGTTGTTAGCCGTGGAAAACATGACTTTAATTATTAGTTGTATTTTTCTCAGCCTCTGAAGAAGATCCACAAGCTGTCGATGACCAGCTGAGACCTCAGCTCATTTGAAGTAAAAAGCCTGTACTCTTTGGAAGGCACACACCAGAACTCTATAAATACTTTCATCTTGCCTGCTGCATCAGAACTGCTGCTGGGAAATCTGTTGGTGTAATCCTATGCACAAGGCTGAGTCTGTACACTTGATATTCTTTCTGAGACACTGAAAATATCCTGTTCACTCCATCTCCTTTTTTTTCCCATACCAATATCACTTTAAAAGTCAGAGATACTTTTTATGTTTTATTGTCCTTAAATGTCCCTTGCCAGAAAAAAAAGCAAAGATTTTTAATTAACCTAAATTTTGTTTCTCCAGGGATGTTCAAGTTGGCATTCTGAATTTATTCTTGCATGTCAAAATACCCTGCTTCCAATGTGGTGGCAGCAGTTTTCTTTCCCTAAAATGCTGGATCAACAGACCTGGACGGGCTGCTCCTAGCTATCATGCTCTTACGGGGCTGGCTCTGGCTATAAGGTGGCATTGCATGTCATGGCCTGCAGAGCTGGTCTTTGCTTCATTCTAAAGTGCCAGGAAGCATCAGCTGGCTGAGGCTACCATCAGACAGTAAGGGCTCACCCGGGGGTTCTGAGAAACAATCCAGTAGCCCATATGGCCTTTGATGGATCCAGACAGGCTGTGGCAGACTGAATCCCAGAGCCAATAATGTCATCAACTTGTCTTTCTCCACATTCCTGTGTCAGCTGCTAAGAAGAAGAAAGGCAAGCTCAGGGAAGAATTCAGGGAAAGGCTGCACCTCCTGAGTCAGAATGACACCCTCGAGGATTTAGAAGATTCTCCTTGCTATGCTGGACTCCAGCAGGGAGACGAGAGGCAGAAAGAAAAGCCAGAAGTGGCTTGATGTGTGCTTGGCAATTTTGCTATTATGATTGCTTGAACTGTCACAGGAAAAGTTCCCTGAAGTAGCAAGGTAATCCACTACTCTCTCTAAATCAATATGACTCATCAGATTGCTTGCCATTCACTTTGTTTTCCAGACAAGACATGCAACACAGTGGGCAGAACTTGGGTGAGAACTGAGTTAACAGATCCAAGCCCGATCTGTCCTGTCTGTAGATTGGGAGTAGTTATATGGAAAGATTTCTCACGGTGCACTCAGTGTCTGCTCATACCTGGGAGACTTAATTTTAGACTATTTGAAGAAGAAACAATTTAATGTCTTTAAAAACCCTTCAGAGGCTTGGCAATATTATCATTGTCGTTGTCATAATGTTCTCTCTGTGTCTTCCTTAGCCCTCCTGTCTGTGGTTTAACCATCCTTTTCCTCTCTCCTCAGCTTTATTTAAAGCTGCTGGTGCAAACCCCCAGCAGGATCTGTTTCTGGTTACCTGATAATAACAATGAGAAAAACAACACCTACCTGCGAGAGGCTGTCCCAACACTCAGCTCTGAAGAAGGGCAGGATTTATTAGTATCCACAGTAGCCTCAGGAGTCACTTTGTCAACCAGAAAGGTGAGGCTAGCAGATAGAAATGCTGGCACAGTACAGTGGAGTGCTTTCATAGTGATTCTGTGAGGTGGAGGGGTAGACTATCAGTTGGTATTATCATGCTTCTTTCTGTCGTGGTGACTTGTCCCCAAGGGGGTGGGACTGAGGGGTGGCTAATGGGTGTGCATGTCAATACTTCAGTCTGTGCCTCTCTGCCAGGGTATAAATACTCCCAGCAGCCACCTTGGACATCCCTTTGGCCTAGGGGTGGACCCAGTGATGATGCAGGCTCTCCTCAGGACAGACCCACATGTGGGGAATTGGCTTGGCCTGTGTGCATAAAGCATTTTGGGATCTTGGTACCTGCAGTTCAGTTTGAGAGGAACCTCAGGTCTTTGGGGGCCTCTTGGCCTTGCTCCATTTGCAAGGCCAACATTAGAGAGGGCCACTTTTATCCTCCAAAACACTGCCACGCAGGGGTGTCACTTGTCCAGAGTGAAGGGTGGAGCTAGCTGGGAAGATGCCACAAGATAACGTTCCAATTGCCCCCTTCACAGGAGCCAAGCCAGACCGCAAAGATTCCCAAGATCTCAGGCTCTTGAGATGGATCCCAGTGGAGACCTTTATGAACATCCAGCTGAAACATTCCACTGGAGTCATTCACAGGCCAGTCCTTGCTTGTGGACAGTTTGTGCCCAACCCCCACACCATAGGAGTCCACTGAGGCCCTGGTAGTTGCTGGGTTCCCAAGACCACCCCAGGTTGAAAGCCAAGGGGCACTTTATGAAAAACCAGCGGCATAACATCTAATGTTCTGGGCTAATTCTCAGTTGTCCAGTCACCTTTCAACTGCAGATACTCAGTAGAAGCTCATTTTGTCAGATGTGAGCCAGGATCTGAAAAGAACACCCAAGAGAGACAGGCAGGAGCATCAAATCACAGCTCTTCCACCCATGTATCTGTGGATTTCCTGTCACTGGCCACCTACATTCTCTGGGCTTTATTTTCTTTATCCAAAAACGAAAACAAATAAAATGGAACTAATAATACTAAGTGTCATAATCTGAAAATCACCCAGCATAGTAATTGGCCCAGAGTGGTGTCAAGAAATGATGTTCTTTGCTGTTAGGATTGAGGATTAAATTTGTTAAAATAACTGGATATAGGATACACCTGTATTCCCAGTGAGTTCAGAGGCTGAGGCGGAGGACTGGATTTGAGGCCAGCCTAGGCAACTTAATGAGATCATGTCTAAACAAAAAATGATTTAAAAAAAAAACAGAAATTCAAAATGCAATGTATATTTTACATTTTAAGAAATCTCAACAGATATAGTACTTTTTGTTAGAAATACTTAACCTGTACTTAGATTGTTAAAAACTTAGCCAAAGCAACACATCTGTAATCATAGCTACTTGGAGGCTAAGGCAGGAGGATCCTAAGCTCCAGCCTGGGCAACTTTGTGAGACCACGTCTCACAATCAAAAGGGCTTAGGGGAGGGTATAGCTCAATGGTAGAACACTTGCTTAACATGCATGAGGCCCTGGGTTCAATCCTCTGTGTCCCCCCCAACACATACATATAATTTACAGCTGAAAAATAGATTCACAAAACCAAGTTGTTCCAAATGTACTTAAACATTTTCTAGTAACTGAGTTATGTACCAGTCTTCAAATTAAAATGAGTAACATTAAATAAAATACAAAATTCAGTTCCTCAGTGACATTTGATGCATTCAGAAATTACATAGAGTTTGTGACCTTTTCCTAAGCTGATCTATGGGAAGTGACCGAGAGCCTCAAGCCAGCCACTAGACAGAGGTGAGACTTCCAGGCAGGTGAAACAGCCTGAGAGCCAGCGTGTGCCTAAGATGATACAGAAGCCAGTTTGTGCAGATCTAACTACAAAGTCGTGCCTCAGTACATGCTGTTAATTTGTTCTGGAACCAGTGAAAGGTGCTGACACTGAGTACTGAACAAAATTTTCCATAGGAATAATATAATTCAAAATAATTCAGAAACTGGGCTAATAGTAGCCTTTTACTGGTCTAATGTAAGCCTTTTGGGCTCAGTGGTATTGCTCTCAACTCTTGTGACCCCCGATTAGCTCTTAAAATGCACAGAAGTACAAGGCAATAATGACGAGTGCGTGGAGGATTTGCACTGTGAGAGCTATGATATCGAAGCATTTTATTTTTCCTCATCAAAATGCAACAAGTACAGAGTTTGACAGGTTCTGAAGCTAACAAGGACCAAAGTCTGCCTGGAGGTGAAGCTGAGGGGCAGTGTGGAATCAGATTGGGAAGAATTTGGGTACCAGGTTAGGGTGCTGAGATTTTACTCTGTTGCTAATAACTGGAATATTTTTGGAGCGGGGATTAGTCTGTTTTAGGGGGATTCCTCTGGTGCCAGTGTCTATGAAGACTGAGAGAGTAGAGAAAGCAGCCAAGGAGAACAGGACACAGGTAGGTATGGTGGGCAGGTGGGCAGAGATAGCACCCGACTTGTGTGAGAGTAAATGCAGAAATTTCACAAAGTCAGACCCGGAGGACTCAGAAACCAACCAGGCTCCTTTAGAGAGGATGCAAGGCAGAGATGGCCTCTAGGGCTGCGTGGCTGGGAGGAGGTTGACCCTAAGAGGTTTAAATCAGCTGAACGCAGGCTCTGACATCTGATTTTTTTTTAAACAAAGGTGTAATTTATAACTCCAGCCCCACCCTCTGAATCACAAGGGCAATCAGGGACTTTGTCCCAGTATGAGATTGTGAAAGATACTCCTTAGTTTGAAGGAACGCTTTCAGATCTTGGGTCTGGGTTGGACCCAAATTAAGAGGCCTTTTTCTCAGAAGTCAAGAGAAGGGCTAGGTGGAAAACCCTCTGCTGCTTGGCTAGTTAGTTTTTCCTCACCCCTCTTTCCCTGGGAAAAGCTTTCCTTCCCAGGGGAACTCTGGCTTTGCTGCCTCTGCCTTGGCTCCTCTCCTTCCTGCCCCAGGGCCCCTGGGATCCCATCCCCTTGTGGAGCCAGTGCCCCAGGGCCCCCACAGGCACAGCTGGGGACTGACCTAGGACTGTGCTCTCTGCTACCTCCAGTAAGCCCAGTACTGCCCTGTGGGAGGAGGGAGAATGCTTGCACTGGGCGAAGTGTTGGGAGTAGCAGGGGAATGGGATTACGGGGAGTCCCCAGTGGGCTCACCAACTGGCCAGTACTAAGCAAAGTGCTCTGTGCCATGTTGGAGCCAGGTACAACTGCCCAACGCCAAACCCTCTGAGCCAGCCAGAGAGTGGGTGTGAGTTTTAAGAACAAAAGTAAGGGGAGTCTGGGGCTGGATAACAACACGGGGTACAGACAAGGGGCCTGGATCACAGGGTGAGGAGGTGGTTGTCTGTTGAATACTTGCTGGGCACTGTCCAAGAGCCTCTCAGCAATTATTAGCCTTCTCCTCATCTCCCGCTTAGGGAAACTGAAGCTTTGAGCAGTAAATAGGTAGGTGTCCAAGGACACCTGCAAGGGACTGTGTTGATTCAAACCCATAAATGCCTGACTCATGGTGCCTTCTGTAGGAGCATGGATCTGCAAACCACCAAGAGTCCTATCGGGTTCACTTAGTGAACCCAACCTGCAAATGTTAGGTTTTATTGTTGCTTTGATAAGTAGGCAAAAGTCATATTAGGAGTGTCATGTATGCCTAATCACTAATCAGAATGACTAGAACAATTTTTTCAAAATTTAAAGCGCTGGGGTCAAACCCAAGGATTTACCTCTGGGCCTCACATGCACTCTTACCAGTGAGCGTGTGGCTCTCAGCTCTGAGCTAGATGTGTGGGAACAGGTAGCTCTCCATGCAGGATGTGAAGAGGATACTCAAGCCCTAGCACGGCTCTGCCTGGTTGCAATGTGGGGCCCTCTGTGTGAGGTCTGCGTTGTTCAGGGCAGCCCCCACCCCCATGTGTCCGTAGCTCTGAGCTGGGTGAGTCGGGGCGGTGCTTCCTCCGGCACTGGCTGGGCACTGGGCCCAGGCTCGGGCTTCTCTAGGTCAGGCAGTTCTATCTTCAGCCTGGCCAGAGGATACAGTTTGTGTAAACTGCAGACAGTGCAGGCATGCTGTGTAAACACAGACTATCTCCCACTCCAACGTTTCCTCTGGGGAACGTTTCCTCCAACTAGGAGGCTGGATTCCAACTTCTTATCAATTTGAGCTTCCTACTCTGGTATAAGGAAGCTATTAAAGTCCGTTTCCTGGTATTGCCTTGACCCCACCAAGACATGCTCCTGTGGAAGCAAATGTCCCTTTCAGAAGAATTTTTTTTCACTCTCCCCAAATCCACTACCCTGTCTCAAATCCCCCTACCCCATTAAAAAAGAATTTTGAACACGTTTTTAGCCAAAGCCTAGCCCTTAGCATTTACTTTTTACTTTGGCTAGTTGAGCAGCCCCACTGTATCTTTCACTTTATTTATACATTTTGTTTCCTTTCAGGGTCAGAGTACTCTTTATTAACCCTCACATAGGCCCTGTCACCTCTGTAAAGGTTTCCTTGTATTTCTTTGGTTCCTCTCTTCTGATTGTGAAAGTCCTACTCTCCTCTCTTCCCAAGTCCCACTGAGGGAAGATAAAGAGAAAGAATGGTTAAGACTATCCCTCAGACCTACCTAAGTGTTATCAGAATAATTCGTGGCACTCTGACTTCCACTGGTCTCCCTCTTACCTGAACTTGGGTTCCTGTGGAATTCAGTGTCTCCGTGACACTGTTTAGTACTTCCTATAGCCAGCATCCAAGAGGGCGCCCAGTGAGACTGTCAGCCTGGAATTCACGTGATTGGGTAGCTCCTCCCAAAAGCACAGCATAGACTTTTGTAGTCAGGAAGGCTACTGTGATAAATATGACTCCTTGCTGTCTTGGACCACTTGACATGGGAGAAGCCAGCCACCATGTTGTAAGAATATTCAAGCAGACCTCTGCAGAGACCCTGTGATGAAAAACTGAGGCCTGCCATAGCCAGCACCAAGGTGGCCGCCTCGGAGGCAGACCCTTGTCAAGCTCTACTCAGGCTTCAGTTTGTAATCTCATGAGAGATCCTGGGCCAGAATCCTGAAGCTGTAAGTTTTCCCAAATTCTTGATCCATAGGTACTATATAAGATAGTAAATGTTTATTATCGTATTAAATTGCTAAGTGTTGAAGTTATTTGTTATGCAACAATATATGATTCAGACGTTAATAATAACGATACTACCAGTTAATAATACTAAACATTCAATAGTGCTAGGCACTGCTTATCACTTTGTTTTGTTTTGTTTTGAGAGGGACAGGTTCTCACTAAATTGGCCAGACTGGCCTTGAACTGTGATAATCATCCTTTCATTCCATAGTAGTCCATCTTGTCCGTCAGAGTTTATTCCAAGATATTTCAAGGAACTGGAACTATGGTCAGTTCTGAGCTTCTTATATGTTTTTTCCTCTACACACATACATACATATAGTAAAGCTTGATTATGCACAGAAAGACGTAGATAACAACAGGTGATAATAAGGGGCTGGAGATGTAGCACAGTGGTAGAGTGTGTGTCTAGCATTGCAAGACCCTAGGTTCCATCCCCAACACTGAAGAAAAATCTAATAACACAGGACAATTCTAACAATATTCTGAAATCAAAATTATTTAAGGTGTACGAATTAGCCAAGTATGTTAGCACATTCCTATAATCCCAGCTACTTGAGCAGCTGAGGCAGGGGGATTTGAAAGGGGATTTGAAGCCTGAATAAGCAACTAGCAAGACCCCATGTCAAAAACAAAAATAACTTACTGATGGGTTCTGCCTGTATGAAACTCTGTCAAGCCCAGCGTGGCACCTGCCCAACATAGTGCTGGACCCTAAAACAACAAGGTGTCCCTCCAAATGCTGATTTCTGTGTTCTTCTGCCAGGCCCCAAATGAACTTCCCACTTTTCCGCATGCTTGTCAGCATCTCCCCCATCAGCTGTCAATACCTCATCTGCCTGCCCCTTCAGACTGCACCCTAATGAAAGCTCTACCGCTGCTTCTTTGCC